GTTGAGTTGAGTACTGTGTGTATATATATATATATATATATATATAGATATATAGATATTTATATATGAAGATGTGACTGAGCTGTTTTCAACTTTAACTGAAATAACTGAAATATTGTAATAACTCCTGATGTATTGTTTTTTTTTTTTCTGTTTTCATCAGTTTTTCTTACCCTGACAAGTTTCAGTTTTCAATGATATGCATTGAAAACTGAAACTTGTCAGGGTAAGAAAAACAGGTGAAAACAGAATTAAAAAATAAATGAAACATAAAAATAATCTTCTCATTAGTTTGGAAACTCACTAGTCTAGTCGTTTGCCTATGATCTGATTATAATAGCAGTGCATACAGTTTTAGATGAATGCGAGCCCTCTATCTGTAGACCTGTGGAATTACTGACTTCATACAAACATTGAAAATGAGATGTATTTTGAAACATTGACATTGCATCTGTCAAACAGAAAACCAAGTTATTGTCAAAATAAAATATAATGGAATATAATACAGGCAAAGGACGATGCAAATGGCATTATATACAATGGTCATCCAGCACATCCCAAAATTACCATATAATATTTTACCAGTGATCAGATATCCGTAGTGAAATAACAACAATATAGACTAAAAGCTAAATGCTTAAAGGCTTAAAGCATTTTCATTGACAAATACTGATTCAAATGTCATTGATACATACGATGCAAGACTATGATAGCAGTGATCCAACTATTAGGACAGCTTTTCTTACCTTATAAAAATATTCCAGCTGCTCCAAAGTGAAGTTTAGCCTGCTTTTCAGAGCTTGCATACGGATCGACGCATATGTGCAACACTGTAGTTCAGTACTGTAACTCGGGTCTTGTCTTATACTAACCTGTGTACGGACAGTCGGACACGATCATCATTCTTGCTTTGGGAACAAATATCACGTGTAACCAGCAACTCCCGAAACCGTCTCTCATTGGCTCCTAACCTGCCATTGCCCCGCCTACTACGCATAAACTCCTCCCATCAACGAGAAACTCGCGCTGCTATTGGACACGTGGGCGGGGCTATGAACGTACGACGCTCCTTTGTCACGTTGTTGCAAGCAAAGGCTCCATCTGAACTGTATGGACGTGAGGGTACCTCGAGACCTCCAAACCGTATTACCTGCTATAGAGGCGCATAATGTATTTTTACTTATACCATACAAGACTAATACACTGAGATTTTTTAAATAAAAGTCAAATAAATAGGGCTATGATTCTGAGAATAATTACGCGTGCATCGTTAAAATGCTACCGTTTGTAACTGCACGTCTTTTTTGGTGGTTACGCCTTCAGCGCACTCGGTGGGAGTCGCTCCGTTCCTCGTGTTTATGCGCACAAAGCGTGTCAGTCCACTTGCCGCTGACACATGAGGGCGTGTGAGGGCCATGCCAGCTATAACTGTGCAAAATCTCCGTCTCATGACTGTATTCCCTTCGTTTGCTGCTCAAATACACGGTGCAAGCAGATCACAGATGGACACATTTGTGGACGAAGTGTGTTTATCTTTGAGTGCTTTGAACACACGGCAACCGTTCTTGCGAGGATGTTATTATTTAGAAAAGTAAATTATTATTTTTAATTAATAATTTCACGTTTGGTCAGTGTTTAGGCTGACTTAATAGCCTTTGACATCCCTTTCAAAAATGGAGGGCAGTGCCATACGTTTATAATAGTGGCATCAGATGGTAATAGCATGGGGGGGGGTTCTGGGATTTTATCGATAACGATCGATAATCAGACGATATTTTGCTGAGTGTGTTGCACTGCAGGACTGCCATGGACAGCTGATTCTGTGTGGTGGTCAGTTCACAGCAGTGACAGAAATTAATCTTTTTTTTTTTACCCTTTATGGGCATTTTTACCTTTGTAAAGCCATTTGTTTTCTCAGTAAAGTCATCAATATAGTCAGTTACAATAATAAGTAATTTGGGGCTGTTACCAACAAATAAAATCATTATCAACAAAATTCATGCAATGCAGAGGAAACACATAAGCTACATCTGAAGTGGCATTTAGATGCATATACACAGTTTAATGCAAGGCATGAATGCTTTAACCTGCAGTTACAAATGCATAAATAATGTTTTGATCTTAAAACGTTGAATAATACTCATATTTGAAATGATTTAAAAAATAAATAAAAAGGTACTTTAAAATGTGAAATTAAAACCGCCAGTAGGTGGCAGCAAGTCACTGTTAATTAGTGAGTCATTGCAATTGAACAGCATCTTTTAAATGGTTGATTCATTCAGGAACGAAACACTGTCATGTTTTTCAGTCAGGCCTGGGTGTGGCTAGAGAAATTGAACTCAGGTGTGATAAACCACAGTTTTAACAGGGGGGCAAACACTTCTTCACACAGGGTCATGTAGTTTTGGATTTTGTTTTCCCTTAATAATAAAAACCTTAATTTAAAAACTGCATGTTGTGTTCACTTGTGTTATCTTTGACTAATATTTAAATTTGTTTGATGATCTGAAACATTAAAGTGTGACAAACATGCAAAAAAATAAGAAATCAGGAAGGGGGCCAACACTTTTTCACACCACTGTATTTGCTCCAGTAGGTGATGTCTGTTTTAAAACAGATAAAAGTTGAGATTATGGCATTAAAAAGTCGATTATGACATACAAATATATAATGAACACATGCTTTTGACTGTCATAATCTTTGTCTCGTAATTTCAACCTTTTTTGACTTTTTATGACTTGTCATATTTTTCAACTTTTTATGTCGTCATTATTACTTTTTGTCATAATTTTGACTTTTGTGTCATATTCAGTTTAGACTTTCTATGTAATAATTGTAAAATTTCATAAAATAATTTGGATTTTTTTTTTTTTTTGGTCATATTTTTCTTATGACTTTTTATTTTATAATTATGATTTGCCAAGGCATACACAATTACTGGAAATATTGTGTCTTAATTTAATGCTCAATATTAACTTATTGTTTATTGGAGTGTTTTATAAAAGCATTATCATACAGTAATTCTGTTCTGACTGCATACTCGTGTAACTTAATGTACTTCTACCATAGAACATGTTTAGGTAACCATGGTATTACATGTACCATGATACTCATTGGTAACTTTTTGTTAGAGTTAATTTAAGAAATAGTGACGCATAGTGAATAGTTACTTAAAATATTTACTTACTGAAAAAAAAAAAATAGTATTATTTTTACTGTATAAACATTTTACCTTAGGATTCATTGTGTAAAAATCTTCTCCAAATGCTGGAGCTGGCCTTGTTTTATAAAGGATTACTAAAAAAAAAAGACAGCTTATATGTTCTTAAATACACAATCTTAATACATAAATTTAAGAAATAAATTTATATTTTATATCAAATAGTTTATTTTAAAAAATCCACCCAGACACATTTTTATTATATATTTATTTTTTATGTTGTCATTGTTTTCAAACACACACACATTTTAATTTCTAACTCGGAACAATAAACACAGGTCATCATAACTGTCATTTTTTTGCAATATATATATGTATATTTATATATATATATATATTTTCCCAAGATGTTCATCCATATAATAGACATTGACAGATTTACTCTACAATTGATTTAATGTATGTCTGGTTGCCAAAAAGGTTCCCTGTTACAATGTAATTCGTTCTGTTTTAATATGTAGTCCACTATAACTTATGACACAAATAAATAGAAAATAAAATAAAATAACAACATAAAATAAAACTGTGAAGACCGCATTACCCATGATCCTCCAGCCTAGTCCCTCCAAAAAGGCCAGACAAACAGGGGTAATGCTAATCCTCAACCTTTCCTTTCCAAACGAACCTCCATAAATCAAATAAATACACAAATGAAGCACAAATTGTTATTAATACAGCAACTTGGCTCTTGGTTCGATGCATTTCTAGACCTCCATGAAGCTCTATGGTAACAGCTCCTTAAATTCTGCTTGTTTATACTGTTTATTCAGTCCCAAAAACCTTCAACAACGAATCAAACTGTTGTAAAACGCCATAACTATTCATTCAAAACAGCTCTGAATGAATAGCAACCAATTGAAGTTGATATCCCAGTCTGTACAAGCTTTCTGAAAAAAACTTTTGACACGCTAACCTTTAATAAGGCAGGGTTCATTTTCCAGTATTACTTTGATATCTTAGGTCACCGTTCTTATATTTCAACTTAAATTATAAAAATAAATCACCCTCTCCTAACTAAGCACATTGAAGCTGTGCCACAGAGCACCACTGTGAAGACTTAACAAATTTCTACTTAAATAAAGTAAACAACTGAAGACTAAACAACTGTATGACGTGAGCAATGGAGAAATCACTGTGGCTTTGAGCCAACGCCATAACTATTCATTCAAAACAGCTCTGAATGAATAGCAACCAATTGAAGTTGATATCCCAGTCTGTACAAGCTTTCTGAAAAAAACTTTTGACACGCTAACCTTTAATAAGGCAGGGTTCATTTTCCAGTATTACTTTGATATCTTAGGTCACCGTTCTTATATTTCAACTTAAATTATAAAAATAAATCACCCTCTCCTAACTAAGCACATTGAAGCTGTGCCACAGAGCACCACTGTGAAGACTTAACAAATTTCTACTTAAAATAAAGTAAACAACTGAAGACTAAACAACTGTATGACGTGAGCAATGGAGAAATCACTGTGGCTTTGAGCCAGTAAAGTTCTGTGTCTTCATTGGTTCCCTCCCAATAAAGAAGACGCAGCATCTTTAACAGGCTGGCGTGACAAAACTACTCCCACCGTCCCTCTCGACCCACGCGGTTTTGAACAAAACATGCCAAGACAAAAGAAAATGTCTTCATACACTCACACAAAGAAAAACAGAAAAGCACATACATTATTTGTAGTAGTCCCCTATTAGAATCCTTTCAATATGTGAAGCGTCTTAAACTCTTTTTGATTAATTTGTCACGTTTGAGTCCTACCCCAATGCATGATTATTATTATTAGTTAGTTATAGACTCCTTTAAAATGTTGACAACCCCTGGGAGAGAATTCTTATATTTGCCTAATATAATAAATAGTTTATCTATTTTAATATGATCAACATCTTATTCTAATTCCAGATTGCTTATGCCTTAAATGTCAAATCTAAAAAAGGACCCCCTTCCACCAGATGAAGCCCACACTACACACTGCGACAGATTTTTTTTGTCTTTTTTCTTCTTTAAACAGCTACAAAGAAATAGTTCCATGTTTTATATTCAGCATTAAAGATACAGACCTAAAGGAGAAGTTGTGCTATTATTGTTTACATATCAGCCCTGGGGATCAGATTGTGGTTTCAAATTCCTTATCCTGTTAGCAATCACCTCCACTAAATATTCAAGTACAATAAACATAGACCTGAAGAGAGATGGGCGATTTCTTGTTTCCTTTTGCTGGATGAGAGCTTTTAAAAACCAGAGATCTGGGGAAATGTTGTCCCTTAAAGGGGTCATATGATGCGATTTCATTTTTTCCTTTCTCTTTGGAGTGTTACAAGCTCTTGGTGCATAAAGAAGATCTGTAAATTTGCAAAGACTAAAGTCTCAAATCCAAAGAGATATTCTTTATAAAAGTTAAGAGTCAGCCACGCCTACCTAAAACGGGTTTGACTGCGTTACAAGTACTCGAGGTTGTTTAAGACCTATTTTGGAATTCTTTAAGATAAATACACTTACTTTGTTTGATAGACAGCATAATTCTACACTGCTATTAAGGAATGTTTAAGAGATAAGACACTAAAGACATTAAATTAAGATAAACATCTACAGTCATTGGTCCAGTCTGTTGTGGCAGTTCACTAAGAGTAAGTACTGTTGGTGAGAGAGAGAGAAAGAAAGAAAGAAAGAAAGTCAAAGGGGGTTGAGGGGGCAATGTGTAGGACTGAGATAGAGTGCATGTGACAAAGAACAAATTGGGGATATTGATTTAGTACCTCAGTTAAGGGAGTCTATCGCTTGTGCAAAAATACACCAATACTCAGTGAGCAAGAAAGAGTGAAATAGAGCATGCAAGATACAAACACCCAGATTAACACCCAGGCAGTAGTTTAAACCTGAAGCAAAATAAATCTTTCAAAACTTAAAAAAAATATACAAATGCACACTCACACACAAACTACAAAAACCATTATATCAGAATAAAACTACAAAGAACATTTGGAATATATACTGTATAATCTTATCGTATTCTAAGGGTTGTGATTTATTTTTTATCGGTTGTCACAAGTAATCAGGAGTTTGGAGTATGAACAGTATTTCCGAAAAGCCGGAGGTATTTACAGAGGAGACATGGCCACACACTCACGGACAGGATGAACGAGGAGTGACGGGCCCAGCTGTGAGGCAGAGGAGGCAGGGGGCAAGGGGGCTCGGGAAGGGCCGGATTTAGACTCTTTGAGGGCAAATAAATCGATTGTTGTGAGAAGTCGTTTTTCTCATCTTTTTTGGGAGGGATTTTTCTGTGGCTTGGAATTGGGCATTCATGAGCTCAGAGTGGGGTAGGAACGTCACGCTTTAGGTGCTGAAGTACACTGTGAAGAGAAGCAGATCAGATTTATCGTCAACATTCGAGAAACTGTACGTAATATGAAATATGATCTTATAACGAGTTACTCTAAGTATTTTCTACTTTTCAAGTATTTGCCACCTTTTCACTATCCAAGACAAAGGGAAGACCGGAAGTTATTTATTCCTAATGGAGAGTAGTATGGGAGTGGCGTGGAGTTTGATCATATGTGTATGCTGAATTTTCTGATATAATTTGAGCTTTGGAAACACTAAAATATTTGATGTTTTGCAGCTAGGCCATATGCAACTGCCACAGCATCAGATTAGTGGAGATGCAAGTGAAATGTATAATATTTTCCAACCTGTAAAATGGGCAGTTATGAATAATTAAGTCAGAAATTAACTTATAATTGTTTATTTACAATACTTTTTTTTCAACCATGTTGGCTGTAATTTGTTTTGTGTGGATATACAATGGTGAATAAGATCAGTATAACAGCGGATTTTTTTAACATTCCATGTGACGGCCACCAGGGGGCAAAATGTGATGATTGTACCAAGTAGGTATAACTGCAGACCGGAGATCTCCAAAATGGGGCATGAACTCCAAAAGTGGACAGAACCTCCAAAATGGGGCGGGGTCTCTTCGCGCAAAGACTTTCACCATTGGCTCTGGCTTCGGCCAATTGTTATTGACTTACATTTCAAAATAAAACTTTATAACTTAAACATTGTTTCTAATTGATCTAAAATAAAATATGCTATACAAATAAATATTCTCCTTGAGAGCAGAGCCCAAAGCTCGTGACCAGTGTTGTTCGGGCCGGAGTTTGAACCTCTGCTTAATAAATGGGAATCACCCACAAGCTCTCCCGCGAGCAGTCCCAGCGCAGCGCAGGGGAAAGATTTCACTCTATCGCTTTGTTCTAAGCGACGGGGGCGTCCCGGGCCTCGAAATTCACAGGGTAGGAGGGGGTAGTGACGCTGGGTGTAACTAAAAAGGTGCCATTGTCCGGTGAGGTCCTGTTGGGGAGTTACGGAACGGCCCGGCTCGGCGATCTCATATCGCATAATCTTATTAACTACTTATCTCCTGAACTTTCTTTACCACGCTATTCAGCGCCAATCCCACCGTGCAGTCAATTTAACTGGTTAAGGTTAGGGTCAGGTGTGGGGTAGGCTTAGCATTTATTGTAGCATAGTGTAGGAAATCAACACTGTGATTGACACAACCAATAAAATCTTTAGAATCAGCTGTGGGGTGGAGTTTCCACTGGACTGGATTGGGAGAAAAAATTGTGCATGCGTGTCATGTGCCTGTCTGTCAATGGGAGGAAGCCACGCCCTATTTTGGAGCTCCCACCCCATTTTAGAGTTCCCTCCCCCATTTGGAGATCTCCAGGCTGCAGTTATACCCTTCTCGATTGTATGAGAATATCGGAGATAGTGGAAAGGCTGTTTTAATTTTAAAGGAATATTCCGTGTTCAACATGCAATTTTCGCTCAAAATTTTGTACCTCAGTTTGTGAAATCAAACACAAATACCAAGTTGACTGTAAAGAGTGCTTAAAGGACAAGTTTACAGATTTTCACACAGCTTTGTATTTTTACTATGTGTACTATTTCTTCATGTTACCTGCACTCAGATCTCCCGGTTTACTGGTCAGCTAAAATCCGCTGGATGGCACAAAATGCTACATCTTTTGAGAGCTCCAGGGCTTTAGTTAAAACTACAGATTTATAAATTTTTATATCCCCACCTACAAACAGCCCAGTGCAGCATGGGTGTTGAAGCTCCCTACCTTTTTAGCACACAGCCCTCTTTCTATGTTTTTGCTAGTCATGTAGCACTGATTATTAAAAAAATGCCTTTCTACGGCATAGACAGCCAAGTTTTATCTTGCCAGCGGCAAATTACCCATTTAAAACTGAATTTCCTTTTACAAAGAAATAATTTCTACGGTGATGTCTTCGGTTCACTTAGTTTTGTCGTGGCCACGATATAATAACTCGTGGGAACATGATCATATGTTGTGGCCACGAGATCATTTTGTCAAGGTAACGACATCCTTATTTCGTGGCCTCGAGATGCTATGTTGAGGGAACAACATCCATTTCTTGTGGCCACGACTTCTTATGTTGAGGGAATGACATATTTTTCTCATGGCCACGAGTTAATGTGTAAACAAACCTGCGTGACCATAGAAACCCGGGATTATCAGAGATGGATAAAACATTTTTATTAACATTTAATTTTATATTTGTATATTATTATTAAATTAACTTGTTAGGGCTATATTTTTATATTTATTTCATAAATAAAATATTTTATTATTTCCCCTTTCAATTCGTGTATCGCTTTACCTAATTAACGTTCTGTATAATTATGCTAGTATTTGCTAGTCTACCATATATTTAGCAAATACTGTAAACGCCTGACAATTATGCCAATAAAGTTTTGACTTTATGATTGTATTTATGCCCGTGTGTGATGATAAACGAGCATGTTGTGGTTTCATTTACAAATGAAACTACGTGAATGATTCATTCCTCAACGAAACACTATAATATTTATAATTATTAATTTGCCGAAATAAAATGAAATATATGTTAAATTCAACTTTTAAACCGCACTTCCAGTTGGCTATAAATTCCAGTCAGCATAATCAAAGCTTTACTGGCATATTGAGCATTTACAGTAGGCTATTATTTACAAAACGTTATGTAAAGAGATCGAAATGAAGGGGAAAATGAATATGCTACAAAAATATAATAATAGGCTAATAATAACAACAACAACAATAATAATAATATACAAATATTACGGAAAAAAGATGATCAGTTAATTAGGTACAAGACTGTGGGATGGATAAAAATGTTTTCCTGTAGGCCTATTTTATTTTATGTACTTAATGAAACATTTAGTCATGATAAACTTAATTTGAATGCTGTCTACATTGCTTGCAATAGCCTACAGTCCGGTAGCCTAAGCCTATGGTTAATATAATAATTAATAATAATAATTTCTTAATTCAAAACAAAATATTAATAAATCCATCTCTGATAATCCCGGGTTGCTATGGTCACGCAGGTTTGTTTATGCATTAAACTCGTGGCCACGAGAAAAGGATGTTGTTCCCTCAACATAGCATCTCGAGGCGACTTCACATCGCGTGGCCACGACATAAGGATGTCGTTACCTCGACAAAACGATCTCGTCCACGACAAAACTAAGTGAACCAAAGATGTCCCCTCCCGGTCACTGTACATTTCTGCATTTGAGATTCTAAAAATATTTTCCCCGTTGTTTTAACCCATAATATTCCTTTGAAAATCAGTAAGAATATTTTCATTACTTACCAATGATTATAATGAGGACAATCGCGCATATCACCCCCAGGATAATCATCATCTAAAGGAAAGAGGCAAAAAGAGGGAGAATGAGTTGAAAAGCAGTAAAAAGTAGACTATGAAGACCCAACATTCAAACATTTGATCCAAAAATGTGTTATTATGAACTACTTTTTGTTTTGAGGCACTGTTTTTTATATTATATTAAAATATACAATTTTAAGCTGTGAATACAAATTGTAATTTTTTACTTAAATTTTTTGAGATTTACTGTTAGCTGTTTGCTTGATTTAGATGTGTTGTTATGAAAATCCATTGCCTTTTCAGCCTTACTTGAGGCACTTTTTGGGTTGTTTACCTTGGCATTCTTCCACCAGTATTTATTCTTGAGCTTGGCGGCACTGGTCTCAAATTGTGAGGCTCCAGCCTGCAGGGCATCAGCCCGATCATCCAGTTCTGACAGCTTCTGGTCCCTCTCCAGAACCTTGTCTACGTTCACACGCATAATGTCCACCACCTGAGAAAGGATGAAGGTGACTCTTAGTAAACTGTGTCATAAACGTGTCTTCTGAAAATGCACTTATAGATGAAAGAAGGCAAAGAGAACGGGCTCACTCACCTCATCCACCTGAGCCTGTGTCTGCTGTAAGCGACGGTTGCTGGTGAGGTTAGGGGGAGGCTGGTTACCTCCTTCTGGGGCAGGGGCACCGGCTGGGGCAGACCTGCAAACCAACATACAGGCTTTTGTCAAAACTTCAATATTACTGAGGTAATAGCAAGTCTACTTGCTAATGCCAATCTCAGCCACCAGAGGAAGACAAAACTCTGAATAAAGGTCACCTCTGAAGGATCCCTGGATATAATCCCTGTTTAGTAAGAAAGGAAAGACTTTTTCCTACTGGGATCTCTCTCTTTTTTTATATATATTTAAATGGAGTAAATGAGCTAGTAGTAAAGCTTACCATATTTTTATTCTTATTTACCAGCCTTTTTTCATTCTCATTTACTTCCGCATCTTCTCATTTACAATAGTCTATATTTAGACATCAAGTCTTGGTTCCTCTCACCTTCACTGACATGAAAAAATGTATTTGCACTTTGCTTTGTGTGAAGTGTATCATTTTAATGGTACTTATAGCCAGAACATAATAGTATCTATCTATCTATCTATCATCTAAGCATAAGAAGCAGAAACAGGCTTTAAGAGGAAATACTAAATACTATGATTCAATACTAAATTATCCGAAGACAAAATTTGGGTGTAGCCAATATCTTAGTAGTTTTATTATCATCAAGACTAATGGCTGCACGGATGCTAAATTTCTCATTTAAAGCAAAATGTGTGTCAGTTCACACAGACCACACCGAACATTTGTCCCGAGCTCTTACGGCCTGGTTATGCAAGGCTATTTTTCCGATGCTAACTGACAAATTCCAAATAAATGAATAAGAAAGCATCATACATTTACTGCATTTTACACTAATATGAGGTTAAATAAATTGTTTCTGGACTGTTCCTTACACACAACTGGTAAAGGCAGGGTCATATGAATAATAGGGACAACATCCCCACCCCCACACAAGGCCTTCATTAAGCATGTGTGTGTGTCTCTGTCATTGTTGCGTCACAATCAACATACATTTGATCAAATAACTGGACCAGATGTTTACATTTGTTACTAACTGATACAAATCTGTTTTTATGTAAGCTAGAACCTTAAAACAGCAGATTGGTCATGTCAAAACATCACACTCCAGACCCAGTGATGCTTTAATAGAAGTATACAATAGGGGAGGTAATATGGACGTATTATTGAAGCTGCGCGCCATTTGCAGCCTCGATGATTTAAACCAGTTAAACGAGCGTGTCTAGAAAATACTAGTATACACGGCCATCTTTCCTGCAGAGGAACACCTGCGCCCTTTGTGCCAGCCATTTGGCTTCAGTCTAACCAAATATCAATGAATATCAAGGCCTGGTTCCATAGAAACATGTTGAATGGTTTAGAGAATAATATAATTCGACAATGTAACAAATTGCATCGCCCCCTTTTTTTACCAACCCCCACGACTCGCGTGAAATATCACGCCTCTAGTTTACAGCCTGCGATTTTTTTTCCTGTTTTATACCATGTGAGGTATATTTTCCATTATCATTATGTAAACGTCAATTTGTTAAAATTGATATCAGGCCAGGGTTGAAATACAGTGGGCCTTGGGCTATTTGAGATAAATCCCAGTGGGCTTTTGAATTGCCATCGAAATTATCATAGGGACAGGGATTTGGGTGGACAAATATATCAATTGCAATAGCCTACATAATTTTAATTCATAAATTATTTTCATTCTAAAAAGCGCGCGACCAATTCCAACCAAACCAGTCCAATCCGGTGTCTATGCGTGATTCTATCTCAGTTGCTCATACCAAACACGAGAATAAAGCGAAAAACGTTTATATTATAAATAAACTCGTTCCCGTACAGCAATTTACTGTACAGATGCAAATTTTGTATGTCAGCGGTAGCAACTAAAATGGAAACACTTTGGCCATTAGGACCCTATTTATAGACGATTATATAGCAAGTGCGCTCGTCAGAATTCAATGGAAATACGTAATAGATGTGGAATAATGCGTATATACAATCAAATATAACCCTACGGTAATATGGAATAAGATTATTTTGTGCATACATATTATTATTTGTAGACCACGTTCTATTAACAAGTGGCAGCAGCATCATAATAATCGAGCAAAGAGAGAGGTTATAAAACGTCATTCAAAACTAGATTACGAACATTCATTTCAATTAAACCGTACTCACATTTTGAACCTGGTTTTGTGTGCGTCTACAATGTGGATGAACGCGCTGCTTCAGGCGTTTCTCCCCGTCTCCGGGATAAATAATGCACTCTCCAGGTTATTCCAGTAAAGCGGTATTCCTTAAAGGTTTGTATTTATTTATTTCCAGCGGTGTGCCGCGCCTTGCTATTATTGCCTTTATAATAAGGGCGCTCTACCGCTACTCTCTTCTGTCACTATGTACACATAAAAAATAGATGTTCGGATTAGGCGAACAAAGATGGCTCGTTGACGTCACTCGTCATCCGGGAAGCTGCATGTTGGAAGCAGTGACCATGAGAGACAGGAGATGGAGGATGCATTGCTTGTTGACAGTGTGACAAGACGGGACAGGGCACGTTTAGGCTATCCGTGTGGAACACTTTCAACAGTATATGTAAGAGGACGTGGGATGGGGTTCATGGATTGTAGATTGTATTTGCACAACATGCCTTGTGGTTAATTTATTTATAAGTAAGGATTGCTGAAACAAACAAAATGGCGGTCTATGAAGGGATGAATGGGCTTCCCAGGCTGCGTAAACTCACTTGTTAGTTATTTTAATGGGAAATATGAAAACATTTAGATTTCTGGAGCAGTGTTATTGTAATGCATCCTGACAGCACATGTGCCGACAATACTAATTTCATAATACTTTTCGCACTAGACTAAGTAAATATTGTGTGTCTACTCATGTTGCCTTACGCGGTATACTTTGTAACATGACATCAAAAGGTAATAGTACAAAGAGAAAAAGTGTTTGGCAGCGGTGGGATTCGAACCCACGCCCCCGAAGAGACTGGAGCCTTAATCCAGCGCCTTAGACCGCTCGGCCACGCTACCGTTGAGAATTAGTGCACGCTACGAATCTAAAAAACATGTGATGTGTATCGTAGCTGCTCTATGTTTTAAAACACTTGTCATTTAGGTTTATATTCAGGCCATATTTAGGTTTATACATCATCTATAAAGAAAGTTTTATTATTTCATTATTTATTAAACCACTGAAGTTTTATTAATCACATATTTTATTATACTTATCATCAAAGTGGCAAAACCGTTCTATTTTAAAAAGAATAGAATATAATTTATTTAGAAAAATACACTTTTAGCGTTTAAGACCATAGACTGTAAAAAAACTGTTTAAGACATGATTGCTTAAACCACTAGATGTCGCTATATGCATGTAGTATTCATATGGTTTTCATCAGATATCTCTGCCAACAAGAAAAACTTTACCATAACACAAAATGAATGCGACGTGTAAAACCACAAATTCAAGTGACGATGTTTAAACCTCAAAAATATTTTTTACATAATGTAATGTAACAGAACTGTGCTTCATACACCCACTTCAAAAAGTTTACTGATCAGTTCTGATAGGAGATTTTGTATTACCATTTCTAGAACAGTAATTTAATATTAGTCTAAATGGAATTCTTAACAGCAATTCGATGTAAATACGTGTTATTTACACGTTTTGCGAGTAAGAGAAATTCACTCAGCTTCCGTCTGTGGGTGAACACTTAGCCCCTCCTCTTGACTCATATTAGCGGTTTTCTAAATAAATAAACGCATATTTTAGGTGTTTTTATGAAATATTTTTAATGAAAACCTGAAATGGGACGTATATCTGTATTAATTTTACGGTTACACGAATAAATAGCGAAACGGCCATCGGTTTCAAAATCCACCAATGGGATCGCAGGGAACGCCAGCATGTTAGGTCTAAAAGAAACTGAATTTAAAATCTATAGTTTAACTTTTAAAAAACGTTAAAACGCTTCTCTTGTACTAGTCATTGAATGTATGACTACATACGTGATCTGTACTTTGAATTCTTTTGAACGAGTTAGAATCACAACCATGATTGAAAATACTTGCGCGGTTTAACAAAAGCTTTCCGAGACCTTAACTAAAGTACTTTAGTGGGTTTATGGCTCATCTGTTATCTTAGAAATAAGGTTTTAGAGCGAGATTAGATGATTCTATGAATACGTGATTTTAGAACGTATTTGTGTAAGGTTTGCAATATCTTTACGAATCTTATCTGATTTTTGTGTAATGATTGAACCTGGTTAAAATAAGATATGTGAACTATAGATAGATTCCCTATAAACGGTTGTATCTATGTGCCGCTATTCGTAAAGCCGTCCGCCATATTGGAATGGTTAAAGCAGGTCCATGAACACTCGAGAGCAAGTAGACTGTATGTCTGCAACCCTAGTTTTACGCATGTATGAATATCTGTATCTGCAATAGACTTCAGCAGATGATTTAGCAAAGGATGGAAAATCCATTTTCTCTACACACACACACAAACAAAAACTGCTCACCCACACTCAATGATAATTATGTGTATTCCAAAAAAATACCTTCGAAAAAAGTGCTCGCGTTAGGCTAACCGAGACTTGTCATTTGCACTTATATATTGTTGCTCTTTTGTTAGTTTTGACTGCTTTTATTGTCCTCATTTGTAAGTCGCTTTGGATAAAAGCTTCTGCTAAATGACTAAATAAATAAAATAAATAAAAAAGATAATAGCTAAAGATAAAAGTTGAAGTTCTGTGCTCTTGGATACATCCGGAAATTGAATGTTTTAGTGACGTGATAGTTTCTTAATTTAAAATAATTAGAAAACAGTTTTGGCAGCGGTGGGATTCGAACCCACGCCTCCAGAGAGACTGGAGCCTAAATCCAGCGCCTTAGACCGCTCGGCCACGCTACCCTATGCGGCCAGTAAAAATGCTATACAAATTAATACAGTGTTCCGGTCTACATTCGTCGTCACGAATTCCTAAACAGTTAACGTGAATTAACGGACGAAATAATTTGCTTTTCAATAACCGTTTTCTTTATATTACCTGATGGTGTCAGTGTGCCCACATACTTTCTTCTGGGATAAATTCGTATGAAACAATAATATGAATCAGATACACAATCCAAAATAAATTAGTTTTTATGTGACCATATCCTTAATCTGGCCTCAAGATTTGTTTTGTTTAAAGAATACAAATCTAGCTACATATTATAAATAAGGCCATGATTTAATATATCTAATATGTAATGTGTACTTTAACTTATAAATTATAACGTTACATCCTTTTGATAAGAAAACGTGAATGCAGGAGTAAATTATTAAGATGCTTTTTTTCACTGATTTTATTTAATTTGAAATCAGGGAGCTGGAGCTGCATGGCGGAAAGGATCATATAGATCTTGATTGAAGTCATATGGGTCGTAGGTTGGAACTGGAGCATTTAGGATTACTTTGTTCCCCGTTTCTTTTTTCACCTTTTCCACTGGCAGTGCTGGTGATGGTTCGATCATCTTAACTGGCCTGGGAGGATTGTCGATTAGGCAGTCAGGGTCCCAGTAATGCCTAGTTCACACTGCACGATTTTCAAAGACGTCGCATCACTGTTGGTTTCACACTGAACGACTATCTGGGGTAGCATTCAGTTGTTGCTGTGTTCACACTGCACGATGGAACGCGTCGGCGATTCCCTCAGATCACGTCTTTGATAATTCACACTGTGTGATTGTCACTCGCGTGAACGAGCACCGATTTGCCTCCGATTTCGGGCATTTGTCGGCGATTTCGCAAAACCTGTCGGCGAGTGAAAAATCGGGCTAAAATCGTGCAGTGTGAACTCGGCATAAGGATCACAGTCATACTCCATTCCTTTGATAATCATTGGATGAGGGGGGGGTGGAGGCGTGGATTTTTGTGGTGGTGGAGGAGGGGCAGACGTCACTGGCTCTGAGGCAGTTACAGGTGGAGAGAGCGACTTCTGGACAGGGCTGAGTTTGCAGATTGGGTGGTAACGTGGATCGCAAAGTACAGGTACACCACCAGCGGGAAGGTACACAATATGTGGCTTGCATTGGGGGTCTTTTGAATTACACAGGTACATAACATCCATCTTGGAGACAGGTGGTAAAGTAGGGGGTGGAGGCTGGGTTGTGGGTGGAGGCATCGACTTTAGTTGGAGGCCGAGGCTATTCTGGTATTTGGATGCATCAGGGCCATACATGAGCTCCAGGTGTCGCATCTGCTGGTAAAGCATTCGAATTCTGTCTATCTCATAGAGCTGGAAGACAGACAGAGAAAATACAGCTTCTTTGTGCATTTTAGTGAACAACACTTCTATTTTTATTTCTGCTGTATATTGCTTGCTGAGGAAATAACTTAAAAGGACAGTTCACCCAAAAATGCCAATTCTGTCATAATTTACTTTCCCCCATGTTGCTCCAAACCAATAAGATTTTACTTAATCTTTAAAAAAACTCAAAAGATTCAACAAGGTCATAAAGGCATCATAAAACTTATCAATATGAATTGAGCGGTTTAATCCAAGTTGTGTGAAGCAATACCATCGCTTCATATAATGAACAGATTTAATTCTGTCTTTTAATCCAAATTGGTTTAGACCGCTCAATTGATATGGATTCATTTTAAGATGTCTTAATGACCTTTTTTGGATCTTTTAAGTTTTGAATACCTGTACTTTCAATGAAGGAATAGAAATATCTCAGATGTCATTAAAAATATCTTAATTTGAGTTTCAAAGATTAAAGGTAGGGTTGGCGATTTCGAAGTGGTTAGCAATAGCAAACTGGCTTTGACAGCATAAGATCCCACCCTCCCTGCAAATCACTCTCCAAAGCCACGCCTCCTTCAAAACACTAGTGAAGTCCGTACACGCCCACTGCTGGAGCGGTTCTCGTTCTCGAGTCAAGAACCGGTTGCATCGGTTTTCGGATCACCAGTACACTGAACCGAGAACCGTTTCTTTCGGACACGTCCGATTTGAGAACCGGTGAGCTGATGATACTGCGCATGCGTGTAATTTTTCAAGAGGACGAAAAGCATGTTATCCAAGTATTTTGTTAAACTGTGATAATATATAATAAGTGTGATAATATAAATATATTTTATTTTACTTTTTTTTTTAAAGATGAATGTATCTAATCTGTGTACTTTGTTCAGTTGAAGATTCTGTTAGGTTATAGGCTGTAAGGATAAAAGAAACTCAGATACTTTGATCTTCTGAGGAACCGAACACGCAAGAAACCTTCATCCACCACTGGATACCTTCCTTGGGCCAAGTGCGTGGACCTTACAAGGCCAAAGGGGTTTGTCAGGGAAGTTGGACCATAATTAAGAATCTGTTTAATAGGAATAAGGGATGATTTATGAAATACCTGTACTGTAATTATAGTTAACG